CAGCTTCCTAGCTTTTGTGGTTCCCGAGTTGAAAGTTGCGGACAAGTTGCTGCGGACACACACAGATACACAAAAACACACACAGACAACCCCGTGAAAATATGCGTTTTGTGCTGCTGTTATGCAAGGATGAATATGTTTCCGTGATTGCCGAGTTAATAGTTTACCCGCCAAAATTTTCACGGGGCCGTAGGTAGTACCCGAGAGGGCGAGGACACTGCATTTGAATGGGCAAGGCTGAGCGTGGGCAGAGGGTCGCATTACGCAGCACAAAACGCATAATTAGCGATAAAAGTGCTCCGCTTACGATTGTCTGTACGTTTGGCTGTAATTAACCTATTATCACTTTCTTCTGTAGAACTTTCGTACTTTACTTACAAATTTGTATTTATCCCAACATTTTTGTTTAAAATGCTAATAACCGGTTTTTTTAGTGCAAAACTGTTACAGGTAGCGAATGTTGAGGTGGCGCGCAGATACCTAAATCACTTCCTAAAAACTTCGAAAAACTCACGTGAAGTCCGCGTAACTGTTGATTCTAGCGTGCCCAATGAAACTGTCGAAAGGAGCGGTGGCAGCAACAGTGCTCGTTCGACATCAGATTCTCGCCAACGTAAGTCTGTTATCTTGCCGAACAACGCCGCTAATTTTCAAGCGTTTTGTTGCAACGAAAACGAAAGTTGTTTTCTAAGCTAGAAAAGATGTAATGCCAAAGGCTTGGAGGATTTCTCTACTGAATGGGACATATTGAGCTTGCCATGCTCCAAAACCGATATTGCTATGGTCAGAAGAGGCCCGGAAAGTACTCAGTAATATCATATCCTCACACTTCTGGTCGTGTGCTGTTGATATTCTTGATATGAGAAATAGCGACAGATATACCCAGTGATTCTAGCTTGTCAGGAATTCATTCGCTGGCAGCGTCTCTGCAGTACTTTCTCCCACGGCTGTTTGAGAAAACTGAGGACGGTTCAACAGTGAGCTTTGTAGGTATAAATATACATTACTATCCCATATCTACGTGCGCGAATCCAAGACATGACATTTCTCAAATGAATGAAATATACCATTACATCTTAAAAAACAAGAAAAGAAACTTTTTAGTGGATTTGTATCACTGGATGCTGGAAAAGCATCGTGAATATAAAGAGGCAACAGCGCGAAATAAAGCTGCCAAGAAGCTTCTCGACGATTCGCCAATAAATACCATGGAAATTGTTTTGTCTGTGTTCTTTTGGAGCTTTTATGAGGTGAGTTCTTTTAGGGAATAATTGTTTAGCAGGTAATTCCTGCAGGCGATGATACCTTGATATTGCCAGCAGACCCCGCAGCACTAGTCAAAGCAACCGGAGGGGTTGACAGCTCATATTTGAAAAATTATACTGTGATTTAGTGATTATTGCAAGTGGTGTTTTGTTGATGACGCTTGTTACAGTTACATTCTTCAAAGTGAACTAAATTTGTCTTTTTTGGTAAAAAAGTGCTACCGCAAACACAGTGAGATCATTGCGTCAAAATGTTCCAGGCACGCAAGCTCGATTCATCGAGAAACAGTATGCTGATGCCACTAGCGAACATTGATGCTAAATTCTTGATCGATTTGGTTTCGGTGAAGGTAATTTTTGTCCAAGGAATCGAGTTCTCTAGTTTTTAAAACAAATTTCGAATTTTGAGTGCAAAATTATGGATTAGCAAATTTACATATTTAGGTGGATTTATTGGAGCCGAAAATGATTTGTGCAGCGAACGTGAACTATTTGTCAACGACCAGGCACCACTTGTTGCATCTCGAATCGGTTGTTACTACGGGACATGTTCATGCAGAACCACATTTTGACGAGCTACATTTACGCCCTAAGCGGTATTTTCAATTTTCATCGTGATTTTGAGATTCTTTTTGTATATGTACTTTTATGATGGAATTTGAGTTGAATTTAGGCATTTTTGCGTTAACACACGTGATTGGATAAATTTTAATTCTCACTTTCACTAGTCCTTTAATTTTCATATATTTATAAATGTAGATTCATTTTATTGTTTGAGCGTTTTAGGATTCTTTATATTTTTTTTTAGTTCAAATATACTTGAATTACTTTGGAACAATTGGACAAGCAGATACTTTGTTCAGCCGTCATTTTGTAATTCCTTTCTTCCTAAGTGCAACTGGAAACCTTTTTATTCCTGCTGGGTTTCAGCTAGGGGATGAAACACAGACTGCGTCATAAAATGTCTTCAAACACATGACATTCAAGTGAAAT